GGGGGGGGGGGGGGGGGGGGGGGGGGGGGGGGGGGGGGGGGGGGGGGGGGGGGGGGGGGGGGGGGCGCATGGCCTCTATTTTTTAGGGGGGTTTCGGGTACGGGTTGGGGATCGGGTCTATGTGTACTGCATTCTCGAATGTGTGAGGGGGGGGCGCTCGATTGTTGTTTACCTGCGATGCTCAAACGTCCGTCAGGCGCTACCCCTTGTGATACGGAGAAAACGAGAAAATGTTCCTACTCCGATCGAGACATCACCGACAGTCGTGAGCTCTTGACGTCCGTCCCATGCTTGACGTCAGAATTGTTGTTTGCTATTTTTCTTATCCTGTCAGGTGCAAGTACACAACAGCGATTATTTTCTCGCTATGTATTAGCCATTGCCCCATACCCCAGTTTCAACCAGTCATACTGTTCCTCCTACCCCTTGTTCGGGGGTGCGCCTTTTTTTGTCTATACAATGTGCATGAATCCCGGCTTGTGAGTGGGCCAGGCGATAAATGGATGGGCCAAGAGCATGTGCGGCAATAGTTATTTGTAAACCGCTCGCAACTACTCTGGGGGCTTTGTTGAACTGCTGGTAAGGAGAGGGATGACGCGGACAGGAGCCGCCCAACTCGCGACAAAGATCGACAAACCAATGATTGCGTGTTGTTCTTGCGGGGCACACGAGCATCTTGCGTTCTCCCTCCCCTGTCTGCTACCCTCTAAATAGGTTTCTGGACAAATCTGGTTGATCGCGAGACATGGCCGGAACTACAACTCGGCCCCACCTGGGGAAACTTGGTCTTGAGATCCTCCAGGGAGTACTGCACGCACCGTGCCCCCTTTCCTTCCACCTCTACGTGGAGGCGGTACTTATCGGGGTCGACATCGGGTACTGGGAGGTGATTGCGCACGTAGTACAGGTCGTTGGGGGTGATGAACCCCGCGTCGAGCAGCAGCTCCGGGGGAGGCTCCGCGTTGAAAGGCCGCGGGTTGTTCACGACGAAAAACGGATGCCTGGCAGGGTCCTGTCAACAAGAGGTGCGCGAGGGAGGGTGCTTGCCCGTTTCTTTACAACTTCCAGGTGGCGCATCAAAAGCTAACCTCGGGCCAAAGCGAAACCGGGAACACCGTTCGTACAAAGGGTAAAAAAATACACGGAGGAAGAGTGCCTAGATGTGATCCATACCCAGCACGAGTCCTCAAATAGAGAAGGCAAGATTGGACGAAAGGCACCGAAAAGGAACAAAGCACGGTCTCTTGTACCCCGCTTGCTTTGCGATGTTGTCTCCAGGCGGTTCTTCGTGCGGTTGTAAGCTTACAGAAGTGGAGGTCGACGTACCTTGGCGTAAGGGTCGTCGCCGTTCTTGTCCGCGTTGCTCTTGTTCTCCGCCATGTCTTCCAAGGATAGACTGCCTATTCGCAACGTCTTCAGGATGTCCAGGACCTGCGCGGTTCCAACGTCAGCGTGGCACAAGTGCGGGAGGGTCGGTCTTACTTGCATCGTCGTTGTGGCATTCTTCGTGCGTTGACAGCCGACTACGCAAACCTACCTCCAAACCAGCCAGCATGCAAACAAACGCCAGAGGCGACACATGTTTCCTCAAGAGAAATCGTACCTCGTCCTTCATATGGAGGGCATACAGCTTCCAGAACGGCTCCAGCGCGCCGCCTGCGGCCATACTAATCCTAGACGCTCCGCCGGGGTGGCTGGCGATGAACTCCGTTATGTCGTACACGCCCCCATCGTACGTTACCCACACACCGCCCGCCTCTGCGCTTTTGTGCTTAGCGACCTCGGCCTTGGAAATGATGGGGAAGCCGTCGCGCTTGCCGCCCGCCTTGGCAGCCCTTTCGCAGGCCGGGCGCTCCTGAGAGTCCTGCTGAGAGACTGCTGCGGTGGAGAGGCATGCTGCCGCAGCAAGCAGTCCCGTCGCTCCCGCCATCGAGGATGATGCATCATGGTGGTGGTTGGATGGTCGGGAGAGGTGGGCGAGGGTGCCCTTGTGGCGCTCTACCGCCGCCGCTGCAGCTGCTCCTCGGACGACTGACCTGTGGGGTCGGGAGAAGAGATATTGTGGCTCGTGCCATCACCTCATCATGTACTCAAATCTTTTGAGAGCGAATGTATGATACCCATGGGCAATGTTCTACTTGCCGCATCTCACGAGAACATAATGTGCCCATAATTTACATGTACACCTACGGCGGAAAAACGTCCGTCATTTCCAAGCGCTAAATCCATGAGCGGAGCCTGTTACCCACGGGAGGAGTCGTGTAGACTAAAACTGCTGGACCACCTTGGCTGGACTGCAATCTGTAGCGAAAGTCAAACAAGGTCCAGACTACATGATTTGCTTCTTCAGAGAAAGGTCACAAGGTATAATGCCGGTGCGATCCAGCCGCTTCCACCGGCAAAATAGCAGGCGACCGGCACTATTCAGAGTTTGAAACAACGTGAAGATTCCATCTGTGCCACACGACTTCACCGGCATTTATAAGAAAACCGGCAGTGTATTCGACCGCGTTTATACTGGGACCGCTACTGCTGTATGCACAGTCGACCCGCTTTTAGGACGCTCGCGCTAAGGAAAATCCCCGCTTTAAGGAAACTCGTTGTGCTCAGCACCAGGGGGCCCGGCCGAATATACGATAATGGGGTACCCCAATTCTTCTGCCGCGTACCCCCCCCTTTTANAATTCTTCTGCCGCGTACCCCCCCCGTTTATGTGTCCTGCGGGCCTGCGTGCCGCTCTTTGCACGAACCACGCACCACAGTGAGTGCAGAAGTAGCGACGCACAGACAGCAGAAGTAGCGAGCGGTCTGGTGCTGCAGCTGTAACTGGGTGTTGGAATGGATAGATTCCTCCCATCTACCGGCGGTCCATCTGATACCGCCAAAAAAAAAGTCGTGCGTCACCTCGTCCCTCACCGAGGGCGAGGTTATCTCTCGCTTGGAGGACGTTCGATCCTACAGATAGCGCTCGCAGTGAAGAAACGTCAAAATCGGATCGAGCCTCAATCCCTTCTTTTGGATCAAAGTACTGGCCCAAGTCGTTCATTTTCGTAAATGGCATTTGTTCTTCCTTTGGACTGTCGCATCCTCCCGATTCTCTTATTCCTTAGACTACAACAAGTACTTCGTATTTTCTTTGTTCTATTTTGTGATCTCTGAGGACAATCCACATCATCAAGCCCTCAAGAGAGGTGGTGGAGAGTGCCATCAAACCCGTACAACAGCGGAGAGCATATGGTTGTCCGCGATATGTGGCAGACTACAGCAGTACAGCACTCACTGTGAACAGCAGGGGCGCGGGGGGGGCGGGGGGGACTCTGCCCCTTGAAAAACAATGCACCTCTGTTCAGCTTCGGAGGGGGGTGGGAGCACCGCAGATTTCTGATGTCATGGGGGTATCGCACTATCATATTTCTTATTGGGGCGATTCTCACGTTTGTGGCCGAGATTGAGCTATGTTTCTTAGCCCTTTTTTCTTAACAGAACGTTTCTTAACTGCGGGGGCTATCTGTTTTTATTTGTACGCGAAGGGAAGGGGTGGCGAGTACAGTGAGACGCAGTACCTCCGACCGTTCATTCGTTTACTCATGAAACTCAACAGAGGCGTAGAGCCAAGCCGCAGGGGGAGGTTCAGGGAACTCTTCGCGATATATATGTGGAAGGAAAAGCCGTCCAGGTAGCTTTTGGCCTCCACCGGGACAGTGATATGTACTGGTGTTCCTCGGTGCGACGCTGGAATACTCTCGTTTCTTTTTTGTTTCACAAGAATGAGATGAATATATTTCTACTTGGACTTTACTCCTCCTTCAGCTGCCGCCTATGGTACATTAGTTGGCCAAGTACAAACTGGTGTGCTTGTGAATGCCACCTCAGACTGTCGTAGATTGTGACGTCAGATGACCTGTCGGAGATCTACCTTCGGGGTGTTACCACAGATAGAGTCAGTGCAGGTTGGATGCTGAACCTTGCTTCAACACAAGGTTGATCCCCACCTGCCTCACTCACACAGACTCGACTCAACGTTCCGTACATCAGCCTCTCCACCAGAGGTTGATCCGGTGTGTATCCACACCGCCCATCCCGAAGGGAACTTGCTCACACGCGAACCTGGAGACAACAGTCTCATAGTGGCGTCAGCGGCGTTACGTGTGTTTGTTGAGTTCTTTGTTCGGTGGTGGCACTACCTTGCGGCAGTTGCCATCATGGGGAACAAGAAAAAATCGAGAAAAATACAAGAGGTCCACTTCAAGGAAGAGGAGGGGGACCAACAGCAGCTCGTCGACTTCGAGCCCGAAGGGGAGGACGAAGAACAACACGTCCTACCGTCCCCCACCGGCCTGTCGTCGCCGTCTCCATCGTCGTCGTCGTCCTCTTTGTCGGAAGACGAAGGGAATCGGTCGCACCGTTCATCGGATGACGATGATGGTGTGGACCGGTTATCGTCCTTGCAGTTGCTGGAGGCAACGTGCAAGGAGGAGGTGAAGGCGTACCTCCGAGCGTTGCGGCGTAGGCAGACTCCTCCGGAGCTCTCGCCAGCTACTGTCGCGTGGCAGCAGCGTCTCCTAACGGAGTCGGTGCCTGCTTCATCGTCTGTCGCAACAGCGTCAGCTACGTCGTCTCGTGGAGCCTCGTCTCGTGGAGCGAGTGCAACTGCACCTCCAGCGGTAAGTTCAAGCGTTCCGTTTTTAGCTCCGTCGTTGCCCAGGCTGACACCGTTGTCCCCTGGAGCACCATCGTTCGTTCCGTCCGCGCAGGCAACGAGTGGATCAAATCCCTCGCCGAGTCCGTCGCTCACTGCGCCCGTAAACACGTCTACTTCGGTGTCGTGTACGTCTAGTAGTGCAACTACAGCTAGTTCAACATTGCAAGTTGCACCTACTAGTGCGCAATCGTCCATCGTAGCGTCACCTGTTACTTCAACAGCACAGGTTGCATCTATGAATGCGCAATCGTCCGTCGTCACACCACCTGTTACTTCAATGTCACAGGTGGCATCGACTGCTGTAGCGACCGAATCCCCCGTTCGTACGTTTCTACAAGCAGCTACCGTTTCAATATCCGCGGTTGACCTCCGCAGCGTTCCCAAGCTGACTGGAGACCGTACAGAAAACGTGATCGAAATCTTGAAACATTTTCGTACGGTGGTTGGGCTGAAAGCCGCAGCCGTCAACACGGATTCGTCGTTTGCTGATGGGGTTGCACTCAAGCACGTTGCCCTGGTGGGAACAGGAGAAGTGTTGACCCTGATACAGCAGATCTTGTCTGGACAGATAGACTGTTCTAAGGCAAGCACGTTCACAGAACCGGAGGAAAAAGGGTCGTTTCCCCCTCCGACCACGTGGGATGCCATGTGTTCTGTTTTGCTTGATTCACTTCTTCCCGCAAATTCCGTGGAGGAGGAGGCACACAATCTCGCAACGTTCGTTCAAGGGCCACAGGAATCTGTTTCCTCGTATGCTCTCCGTTTCCGTACTGTCATGGCACGGTTCCAAGCTGCCGTCGAGCGTGATGGTAGTCGTACCGCTTGGAATTGCATGACAGTCGCTCTGTGGCAAAATGGGTTGACCCATCGTTATCGTTTGCTCTTTTAGAGCCAATACCGTCTCCGTCCCTAAAACTCAGTGCCGCAAATGGTGCACCAGTCAAAGTTTTAGGATTTATTTCGTTCGTTGTTCGGTTGGGAGACGTGTCCCGCCGAATCGATGCGTTGGTCGTACCATCGCTCGGTCCTGATCAAATACTCCTAGACAATGAGGCAATGACTCGGTTTGGGGCAGTACTTGACTGGAAAAATGAACGTTTGACTTTTGAGTGTAGTGACACTATTGTCCCCGCTATTCATCGTAAAAAATCTCAACACGGTTATGATCCGTCGCCGTCCCCCCGTGTTGCAGCCGTTCATCGAAATGCGGAAGAACACTCAGTCAAATTACGTCAACGTTATAATATTCGCCCTCGTCATGCGATGATCGTAAAAGCATTTACTGAATGCATACCGTCCGTTGATACCGCCGTAGTAGTCGAGCCGCGTATTTTGTCGGCAGATGAACTTTCGTTCGATACTGTTCCGCCCGAATTTGAGCGTTTAATCGTGGCTCGTACCGTCTCAACATGGAGTGCTGTTGATGGTTCGGTAGTTGTCCAAATTGCGAATCCATCAGCTGAGTATCTCGCCGTACATGTTGGATTGGATATTGGAACTTTATCGCCGATTACTATGGTAGCACAGGAACAGCTTCACGTCCATGCTGTTGCCTTGTCTCCAAAAACCGCGAGTGAAATTGCTGCTGCTAAAGCTGAGCTGGTAGAACCGCTGTCGAAAGCGTTCGCAAATTCCACGTTCACTAAGGAACAGCAGACTCGTATTTTGGACCTGTGCGCAAAATATCGTCCCGTTTTTTCGCTGAATCGTAAGGAGCTTGGTAAATGCACAACTGCTCAAGCCACGTTTCCTATGCCGCCTAACACAAAACCGGTTAACCGTCGTCCCTACCGCGCAAACCCGCACACTGAAGCCGTTATCCAAACGTGCGTTAAGGACATGCTTGACGATGACATCATCGAAGAGCTGCCTAGTCAGTGGGGTTCCCCCGTTACTCTCGTCGCGCGTAAAGATGGTAAACCTCGTTTTTGCGTCGATTTCCGAAGCACCGTCAACAAGCACCTCATTCGCAAGACCTGGCCTCTAGCGAACATGGAGTCCAACCTTGACTCTGTCGGCAGCGCCAAGTTCATCAGCGTTGCAGACGTCCAGTCAGCGTACTGGCAGATTCCTGTTCATCCTGACCACGTCGAAAGGACAGCCTTTGTCACCAACTCTGGCAAGTACTGTTACAAGCGGATGCCGTTTGGTGTTTGTAATGCCCCATGGATTTTTACTGAGATGGCCCATAAAACGTTAGGTCATATTCCCGAACTGTTGATTTACATGGATGATTTCTGTGTGCTTTCAGCAACTTTCGAGAATCATATGAAGTCTTTGGAGAGCATGTTCGTAGCTCTCCAAGCAGCAGGTCTGACATTGAAACCTTCGAAGATTTCGTTTGGCCCCAAGTCCATCGAGTATTTGGGACATATTATTTCGGCTGAAGGTATTTCTGTCGGGAAGGATCGTATCAAAGCCGTCCAAAACCTTCCTACTCCTCGTTGCCTGAAAGATCTTCGCTCAGTACTCGGGGTGGTTAATTTTGTGCGCCGGTTCATACCGGATTATGCAGAAATAACCAATCCGTTGGTGGAGTTAACTCGCAAAGAGTACGCCACAAAATCACGTTTCGTAAAAGCTTGGAACAAATCGCACGACGCATCGTTCGCTCATCTAAAGCGGTTATTAACTTCAGCGCCCGTTCTACACTTCCCAGACTTCGATCGGGAATTCGTAGTTCATGTGGATGCATCCGAACATGGGTGTGGCGCGTTTCTTGCCCAGCCGTCCAAGGCTGATCCAGAATCTCTTGACATGATTGCGTATTATAGTCATAGATTCAAACATGGACAGCGTCATTACTCTGCGTCTATGAAAGAGTGTTGCGGTGTGGTTCTTGCAATTTCGCATTGGCGACCGTACTTATTTGGGAAACACTTTACGGTGATCACGGATCATCAAGCGCTGACTCATCTTTTTTATATGCAAGACACCAGCAACATGCTCACTCGTTGGGCTATCGCTCTTCAAAATTATGATTTTACCGTCAAACACGTAGCGGGAAAATTGAACGTCGTACCCGATACGTTATCTCGTTTATTTGGCGAAATCGAGTCCGAAACCATATCACACAAACCGGCCCTAGCGTCGATTTGTAGGAATGTGCCGAGTGATCGTCCGTACCATCCTCCTGGCCCTCGTGACTACGAAATTTCTGCCGATTCGTTGAACGATGTTGATATCGTCCATGATGACAACGAACTGTTTGCTAGTGCTGTATCGTTATTTCCTGTACTGGATCCCGCTAAATTGCGAAGAGAACAGTACAAAGAGTTCGGTCCGTATATCGACTACGTCAAGAAACCCAAAACAGCACCGTTACCGTCTAGCGAAAATAAAGGCACCATGAGTAATTACTTCTTGAATGAGAACGTTTTATTCAGGTCGTACTTACCAGGGTATCTTCGTAAACGCAGTTCGTTTCGTGATCAACTTGTCGTTCCTACCGTTTTGCGTGCGTTAGTCTTGGATTCTTGTCATGATGCTCCTGCGTCAGGGGGTCATCTAGCGTTCAAAGCCACGTACGATAGACTCAGAGATCGTTTTTGGTGGCCGACCATGTCTAGAGATGCGTCCAAACACATCCAGCATTGTTTGTCGTGCCAACACCGAAAAACGTCCCACAGACGACCGTTATTACCTGTGGGTCACCGTCCCGTTACTCGTCCGTTTCAGTGTGTCGCGATCGATCTCGTTGAATATAACTCCGTATCGCAGGGTTGCAAGTACGTCTTGTCGGTCATCGATCACCTGACTCGTTTTCTCGTGTTGATTGCTATTCGTGATAAAAAAGCAACAACAATTGCACAGGCTCTCGTAGAGCGTGTCTTTTCCGTTTTTTCTCCCCCTGAAACGTTACACAGTGATCAGGGCACTGAGTTCGAGAATGAGTTGGTTAAAGAGTTGCAGGCCGTGTTTGGTTTCAAAAAAACTCGGACGTCCGCGTATCGGCCGCAAGGTAACTCTGTATTAGAGCGCGTGCACAGCACAATGCATGGCATGCTCGCAATGTATGCAAACGTTCGGTTTGATAATTGGGCTGAGCTTTTACCGTTTGTGCAACTCGCCCATAACACCGCGTACAACCAAACTCTTGAGGAAACTCCTCACTATCTGATGTTTGGTCGCCAGGCTTTGCTTCCCGTGGATGTCATTCTTGGTGTACCGTCTCATGATAGCTCTGCTTCGCGTATGGAATATTCACGTCGTACCGTGGATAACTTGCAACTCGCGTATGAGATCGCTCGTCGTAATTTGAAAGAGCGAACTGACAAGCAAGCAGACTCGAACGAAAATTTATCCGTACCGCAGTTTACTCCTGGGGAACAAGTTCTCGTACATCGTCCCCACACCGTTATGGATGGCCCCAATCCCAAGCTGATCAGCCCTTGGCATGGCCCATTCACCGTTCGTTCAAAAGTATCACCCGTCATCTATCGTGTTTGCAAAGACGGAGAACTCGCGGAAACGTCAGTACACTTGGGTCGTATGAAAAAGTACTATGCTTTTCACCGTGATTCTGTCCCCGATTTTTCTGAATTGGATGACATGCTTTTGGGACAAACCCTTCCAATTCCCGATTTGGATGGTACCGTGTTTACCGTAAAAATTGGACCGTACGTCGTCGAGGGGATAGACAAATTTAAACGTGGAGCAGGAAAACCGTCTCTCCATAACTTCCAATATTATTTCCTCCTCAAAGACCGTCCTGAAAGTCTTGGGTGTTGGAAGCACTTCAAAGAAGTACCCCAGTGTCACGAGATGATCCGTTCATATCGAGCGTGCGTTCTTCGTGATAATCCGCACGCCTTTGATCATCTTCCTAGAAAGTAGCACTCGTAGCTGCTTCGTATCGTGTTTCGTGCTGCGTTTGCCTTATTCGTTTCGTGTTTCGTTTATTTTACAGGGGCTATGTTTATTCTTATATCTTTGTATGTACATACTTCGTATATTTTGTTGTTCGTCGTCCAGCACGATCGTTTCGTAGTGCCCGCCGTCCCCAACGTTCCTTCGCAGTCCGGCCGGACATTGACGTTGTTGGTGGATACGCCCACGTTGGATGCAACACCTCGTGGAAGTCGGCAGGCGGAGCCTAGTTTGCGTCGAGATTCGCCCTCCGCGAACCAAGCATGGTTGCGTGTCTTCGTTTCGTCGGACATGCATGCTAGCGCACGTCATTTTTAAGGCATGGCGTTGCCCGTTCGTTGTGTGATTAGATTTTACTATATGTATTTCTCTGTTTGAATGCCGTACGACATAGTACCTCGTGCGAGCTCCGTAAACGTTTTCAATTATGATTGGAACGTACGTCCGTTATAGACAATCGTGCGTGGTGTGAAGCGTCCATTGCCGTTGTGTCGCTGTCCTTGAGATACGAGTGCGTCGTATGGGGTCAGTTGATGCTTTATGTGAGCGAATATGCGTGATCGGAAGTTCGTCGTTTTCTCGTCCACTCCGTCCTGAATTGGGGGGTGATATCGTCTCACTTGCAGTTTGGGGGAATTGCAATTGATAATCGACTTCCGGATCCATGCACTTTTGCATTGTTCACACGGTTTTGTTCATGCCCGATTTGTCTTGTCGTTTGTGTGGTGGATTTTTATCCCACACATCGTTTCTCGCGTGTCGTCCATCGCGAAAGAGTAGATGGTGGTCTTGGCCGTGCAAGAGGAAGCACAAGAGGACCAGACTTTCGTTCCACTACTGCGTCAAATCCATGCTACAGCACATCGTTGGCTGTACTCGTAATCACCATTCGTCGTCGTTCGTCTATGCAGCACCTCTCAATTGCGCAATCGCATGAGAAGGTCGTATCGTTAGCTCTCCACGAGCTGTGCACATATGTTCGTTCGTTGTTGCCGCTGCATATCGTTTGAGCAACGTTTTCCCAGCGGGTCGACCCACGTCATTTGCCATTCGACACTTGTGAAATTTAAGCCTTGCAAGCAACCGTCTTTCACATGTGCAATGTCAAATTATTTTTCGTTGCTGGATGTTCGTTACGTGCAACTACCAAGCAGTTCACGGCGTTGTCTCAAGGTACTACTGTACAGTTTTTTTTACACTATCGGTGCAAGACGCGCACCGGAGTGATGTTTTTTTCTGTACACACGTCGTTCGTCGTACGGTAGATCACATGTTGCCTACAGCGCCGAGGCGGACTGAAGTGACATGTTCCGTACACCTTTCGTCATCTGTGTAGTTATTCGTTCGTCGTACGGGAATAGTTGCCAAAATTCCTGAATTGCTCTCGTGCAAGCTGTGGTGGTGACTGCGCTATGTACGATCGATGCTCGGATGAGATATTTTGGTGACACGTTCCAAATTTCATAACTACAAAACACAAAGCGTTCGTTGAATGATGGCAGTCGCCGTACGTTTCGGCCCAAGTCATTTAACTCATGTTTTTCATCAGTACTTCACAATTTCATACAATCTGAGGTATTTGTGTCATTCTTGCAATCCGGATTCAGGCCCCGAGATTGAAGATAGGGGGGTGATGTGAATGCCACCTCAGACTGTCGTAGATTGTGACGTCAGATGACCTGTCGGAGATCTACCTTCGGGGTGTTACCACAGATAGAGTCAGTGCAGGTTGGATGCTGAACCTTGCTTCAACACAAGGTTGATCCCCACCTGCCCCACACACACACACTCGACTCAACGTTCCGTACATCAGCCTCTCCACCAGAGGTTGATCCGGTGTGTATCCACACCGCCCATCCCTAAGGGAACTTGCTCACACGCGAACCTGGAGACAACAGTCTCATATGCTGTATGGTAAATAGTTGTTTTCAACATGTCACCGACTGCTGTAAATCTCATTCCTTCAGTATTGTAAGTATGTTCGACGTCAACAACCGGTTGCCAGTCGTCTCGGCGATGCTGACTTTTCGTGCCACCCCCTTCCTTAGCAAAAGATGCGTAGTTTGAGGTATAGCATGCCTCCATTGGCCCCGGGGATGGTGAGCTATCCCCCTGAATTTCAACGACGCAACCCCGCTTTGAGGACGTTTTTTGGGGGGAAAAACCACGTGCGTGGTCGACCGTGATAAATGCACTCACTATTATGCTACTCTATAATGCAGAGAAGAGCCACTCTTCTTGTGAGCGTTGTTGAAGTGCGACCAATCGAGTAGAACAAGTGTACCGCAACACGGGCGTTACATGTATCACGGTCTACTACACAAGCACTTGCGTCTGGACCAAACTTAGCTCAAGTTGCAGACACGCAACGCTGTAACTGCACGCCGCCAGCACATAGGAAGACCCATAAAACCTGGCGCCACCTACCTTTCCAAGCCGGCACGCCTCCCGGCTGATGCGACAAAGCTAGCCGCCCTCGTGCATATCATCATGGTGGTCTTGTTTTGATCGTTACACACCACCAAGACAACAAGCAAGGCCCGAGGTGGGCAGCACAGCACTCTCCCAAGGGGCATCGCAGAAAGCGGCTAAGTGCCCCCCAACAATATAACCAAGCAAGACTGGGAATGGCAGTGCCCCCTTCGCCTGCTCTCTCACACACTCAAGATAGAAACCGGGACGAAAAGAAGAAGACAGCCAGCCTTTCCACGGGGGGCTCCCTCCACCAAGCTCCGGCGCCATGGAGAACATGCCGGTTGTCATCGGCCGATATCGGCTCAGTAAGACTTTGGGAATCGGGGCCTTCGGGAAGGTCAAATGTGAGTTTCAAGGCCTTCCTTTTTTTCCTGCGGCGACGGACCGAAGATGAACAATAAAGCTGCTGCTGCTGCTGCTGCTTAGACTTTGAGCTGTCGCAGCAGCGGACTAAGCCATCGTCACGATTAGCGTTGTCATACGCGGCGTTCAATCGTGTGTGAAGTCATGGCTACTGCCGTGTCTAGCGGCGACATCAACTGCCTCCCTGTCAACGCTATTGCGTCCATGGGTTGGTTCTCTTCGAGAACCACGGTGGTGTCGACGCGCTTTCTGTAGACGAGGTTCCGTTCGTATGCGGGCCAGCCCCGTTGTACCCGTTGAGTCTCCGTAGCTCACGCCAGTAGCACCGAGACAGCATGAGTCGAGAGTCACAGCAGCTGCTTTTGCCCTCTTTGTCGCCCCTGCCGTGTACGCGTCTGCGTACTGCCATGAACAAAAAAATGGTTTTGGTCGGTGTGATGTGTCCGAGTTTTTTTTTGTCCGGAACGTCACCAGCGGTACACACGAGCGTATATTGTAGCATGCGCGTGTTCCTCCGTTGTTTTGGTGACATCTACTGCTGGGTTTGATCTTTGGCTGCTGTCATTGTTGTTGCGACGGCGAGCTAATCGATTCGTCCTCTGCACCGTCGTCGCTGTCCGTCGCCCCCTACTGTTGCAGTGGGGGAGCACACGCTCACGGGACACCGGGTGGCAGTGAAAATTCTCAACAGAGGCAAAATCCAAGCCCTGGACATGGAGGACAAGGTCAAGCGCGAGATTAACATCCTGAAGCTTTGCCGGCATCCGCACATCGTCCGACTGCACGAGATCATCGATACGCCGAGCGATATCTTCATGGTCATGGTGAGAAACAGAGAGCTCTCGTGTTATGCACATGTAAAGATGAAAGAGAGGTGAAAACATGGGCATGTCGGACATTCAATTTAGGCCGCGTACCTCGAGAGGGGAACCCACACACACATGTGTTTGTTAGTTTACTTGCCGACCCACACCATACGCGCGGGCGAGGGGTACGATTTGTTGTCATGAAAAAGCATGAGGTGCCGCTGGCGCACACGGAGCTTCGTTTTGCTTGACACACCCGCCTTAGCCATGGGACCGGACTTGAACGACACATTTCTTGTCTTGATCAGTGACAGAGGAGTGCGGGAGTTCATGTATCATACAAGCGACACATTTCTTGTCGTGAGCAGTAACAGATGAGTGCGGAAGTACATATATCATACAAGCACCGCACTTCTTGTCATCTGCCTTTTGGCAGTACGTCGAAGTACGTGTTTAGTGTATGCATGGTTCGCAACGGTTCCACCCTCCGGGAAGCGAAGGTCTGCTGCCATGTCTCTCTATCACTCCCTGTTCCCCTCGTGGGCCGGAAGGAAACATGCCTGCCTCGGCCTCCTGTGTCTGTGTGTCTGTCCTTGGCACGCACAACCCCGCACTCCTGTTTGCATCCATGAGAGAAAAGCGCCATGATCCCTGTGAAGCCACATTCCACATAAAATTAAGAATGTATCAACAGATGCTTTTCTTGTTAGCTCCAACTGGCATCACTGATAACTCAGTGTTAGGCTTACACAAACTCAAAATAAGCCAAGTCTCCAGTTGGTTTCAATCCACTTCGTGAAAAGACTTCACCACATCCCTTTCGACTGAGGTTATATCTCGAACGGGTCGTCTTTCTGTGAGGTTTATGTTATGTTTAGACTACACTTTCTAAAAAGAATGCAGGCCGAAACTACAGCATCGTCGAGGAGCTCCTGTATGCATACATTGCTATGTATTTGAGCACAACACAAAGCCCTTGTACAGCTCGCTTTCAGACACCTGGTGCGGCATGTGACCTACATCCTTATCGACGCGTGCAAACGATACACCAGACGACCGGTTTCCTTCGAGTCCCGACCGGGCACTCTACCTCGTAGACTGTAGAAGCTGGCAAGAGCCGATTAGCCACCGTTGAGGCAAAATGAAGTCCGAAATGTACGCAGCAGCGTGGGCTCCGATTCCCCGCGCCGTCCCCGAGACACGTGGGGGCGTTGATACCCAAGCGGAGCTAATGCCAGCACATCACAGTGAAGCTTGGTTGGTGATCGGAACCCGCGGTTTTGGCTCGGTTACAGCAGTAAGGTCGGAGCCATCCCGACACTCGTATTTTTCACGCACGTGTGTTCGACGTTCCGGCCTTTCACGCGTCGAGTCGAATTTCCTCTTGACGCCAATGATTTTATTCCACTCTCTCCTGGACTTATCCCTGCCCCTTGTAGAGATTTACCCGAACCAGATTTTCCACGACGTCACCTTTCGTGCACCGTCAACATCAGCAGTATCAGTTGCAATTTCCTCCATTTTCTGTGTTGCAGGCTTTTAATGATGTTTTTTTCTTTCCGCAGAGACGACCTACAAGCGCAGCTTTCGTGTGACCCCTCCGCCAGTCTTCCATCGTTAGACAGCAACGCCTTTGATTCTCCTACACGTCTCAGCATGATTGTTTGCTAATCGCGGGATTGTTGTGGGCTTGCCTAAGCGTGGGGGACCTTGTCCTGCCAAAAACAAAAAGAAAGCAAAAATAGCTCTAGACGGTTTTGACCCGGTTTGGTCTCCAGTTTCTGAGGGAAAATATAATCAGCTGGCTCTTTTCGGGATTGTATTTCTTTCAAGTATTGCTGGACGTGGAAAAACGTGAGTGGCACCACATGGCGTAGCACCGGGCACGTGGTTATTATGGATACATAGAGCAGGTAGGGGGTTTGCGTGTGATTCATATTTTGGTCGTCACGCACCCATCGTGTGTTGTCAACATAGTAGACGGCAATAGCAGTTTAATGTATACTTGATGAGACGTGGTCTAGCCCCCGCCGCAATGCCCGGTAAATACCCAGTGCCCCCACGCCAATGTTTCCGTGTCGATTACGGCAGCACGCTGATCTGCTGCTTGTCGTGCTTTCTTTCGAACGCCGCGTGTGTTGAGCCCACGCCGCCGCCATCACCCCCGAGACGGCATAGTTCGGTTCTATTAGATTTCGCACGTAACGGCCTGTTTGACGCATGCATGCATACGCTGCTTGCTGCAGGAGTACGCGCCGAACGGAGAGTTGTTCGACTACATCGTGTCCAAAGGGAGGCCTACAACAGAGGAGGCGCAGCGTCTATTCCAGCAAATCGTCACCGCAGTGGAGTACTGCCACTTCCACAACATAGTACACCGGTAAGCCAGATTTTGCACAACACCGGCAGTTTTGCACGTGTTGGTAGAGCGAGCCTTGCGGCATTGCGTGTCAGGTTTCGACATGAGAGAAGCCGCGACAAGCCAGGCTATGTTGGTTTCGCACGCTTTGCGTCGGGCAAAGAATTCCCGGTGGGCCTCCCCTCCCCTCCTCCTGTGCCTTCCCCTTTGCCCGTGAGCCTCTGGTAACGAAGCCTGTTTTCCCCGCTCCGCTCCCTGCACGCACGTTTCGCGGTTGTGTTGAGACAGCGACTTGAAACCGGAGAATTTGCTCCTGGACCAGGACAACAACCTCAAGATCGCTGATTTCGGGCTGTCGAATATGATGAGGGACGGGGAGTTCTTGCGAACATCTTGCGGTGAGCGAGAGAGGCCACGTTTGCACGGGCCGGAAGGGAGAGCCCCCGTCTGGTCAGGCTGGCACCGCCGTGCTGGGTGTCCGGAACTTTGCGCCCGGGTGTCCGTCTCTTGTAGAATTGCGTCGGGGGGCCTCGCGCTGGACACGACGCATTTAACCGCTTGTCGACTTTCTATTGGAGCGGACCGCTATGAGCAGCCATGTTTGTAAATCAAAACTGCTTCCAGCAATACGCTCGCTCTCTGCTCCAGGCCTCCTTCCCGTGCACGTTGTCTCGGAATAGGTTTGACGGCGTTCCTTGTTGTGATTCAATGCCAACCCGCACCGCCACACAGGGTCCCCCAACTACGCGGCGCCGGAGGTGATCATGGGCACGCTCTACGCCGGCCCGGAGGTAGACGTGTGGTCGTGCGGGGTGATACTGTACGCGTTGTTGTGCGGCAGCCTGCCCTTCGACGACGAGAGCATCCCGTCTCTCTTCAAGAAGATCAAATCCGGGATGTACTCCCTCCCGAGCCACCTGGGCGCCCTGACCCGAGACCTCGTGCCACGGATGCTGGTGGTGGACCCGATGAAGCGCATCACGATCGCCGAGATCAAGCAGCACCCGTGGTTCCAGCAGAGCATCCCGCTGTACCTGACGCTCACGCCGGCGCAGCTGGAGGACCAGGCCAGCAAGGTCGACGAAGACGTGAGTCAAGGCGGCGTTGGCTTTCGCAAGAAAACAAATGTACAAGATTTGCTCATGTTCCGTCTGTCGCTGTTCCTAGATCAGAGTCCGGGTTCGGTTGCTTTTGGCTCTCGAAGGATAAACTTTACAAGATGCTGCTGCTCGTGTTCCATCTATCTCTGTTCCTAGATAGAATCCAGGGGTAGGTTCGTTTCACCTGTCTCATTTTTGTTCGTGGAGGTGGGTAGCCGTACACGGAGCACCAACCCTAACCCTTGCCGCCGTTGAGGTAACCTCTTTTTGCTACCCTTGCGGGTGGTCACGCCTGTTGAAACTGCACTATTTTGCGTCTCGCATCTGAAGCTAACAATTGGTTACTCGCGCCTGGCGGATACCCGTATGCCCGCGCCTTTGTTGCGGCAGGTGGTGGCGATGCTGTGCAAGCTACCTTTCAAGGGCATTACGCGAGAGCGAATTTTGTTGGCCCTGGCCCACAAGGGGTACAAGAAGAAGGGGGAGTTCGAGCACGAGCTGAGAGTAGTGTACGAGCTCTTGCAGGGGAATAAGCTTCACAAGGCGCGGCTGAAGGTGCGTAGGCTTCAGTGTCTCCTCTTCTTGGGTGTGTACCTCCGCTGCCTCGAGACGCTGCTGTATGCGGCTCAGGCCGCAGCCGTGTGTGGCGCCATGTCGAGCTCGGTCGTCAGCATGCTGGACAACACAGCCCTCGTGTTTGTTCGTTCCGAACTACAGAACGGGCCCGAAGATCAGAAACGTCAGCATCGGGTTGAGGCTGAGTTTTGTATTTTTTCGCCACCGTCGAGCACAGGTTTTTGTTTAGTCCATAGGATCCGCCGCTGTGCTGCATTTTCTGATCTTATTTTCTTGTTTCTCGTGAAAATTTGAGCCTCTGTTTCTTAACGAAATACCATAGTATTTCTCAGCTGCGGGCCCGTTCTGTATGCATATAACTGGTACTTGGAAGTGGGCCGCCTTCGTCAAAAATGAAATTGATTTTGGGGAAATGAAACAGGCACGGGGTACGCAGACCCTATCCCTAGCCCCAACCTTAACCCGACTTCTTCACCGATTACGTGCTTTATCCAACATGTTAACTTAGTAGAAAATCCTGCGAAGACTCATGTCGGAAGTGCACCCATCCCCCCTTGACCACGGGGAAATCAGGGCTGCGTAATCTGACTCACCCGCCCTCCGTTGCCGACGCTACTACACGTTTACTTGTGTTTAGAACCCCTCTCTTGCCGTCTCAACGCACTGTACCGCACACCGGGTCACCAACAGCAATGCGTGTCGGCGAACAAGCTGCAGATGCAAACGCCGCCCGCCTTCGTGGGTATCAATCGGACGCGCGGGGGGAGTTCTCCGAGCCGGGGGGGAGGGCGAAGTTCGGCGCCGCTGCCGAAGGAGATGACGGACACTCCACGGGAGGCTGCTGAAGCACTCATCAGAAAGGTTGGCGGGCTGTATTTGCGTGGTAGGCAGCAGGAGCTGACGCAGTGTGTGTGTGTGTCGCCTGGGGTATGCGGCGGAATCCGGCAGCGCTACATATTTGGATTTGGATTTTGCTCCCGTCAGCGCGTACTGCGGAGCTGAATTAGACTGAAAAGCATGAAATTTGCTTACGATGCAATGCATGCCTCATTTCGTCGGGGATGAGCAAGTTGGACGCGGCTTCTTGTATGCTGTGATGGGCTACCCTAGGACAGGTCTAGTACAAACGAGGAGGAAACCAACGGCTTCGTGTTTCGCAAGGCATCGCAATAACTTGAGTCCAATCGGTTTTCGATTCAGTGATCTTACCTAGTACTGTATCCCTCTAATAACGGGAAAACAATCTGCAAGCGGAAATCGCGAATGTTTGGGTGATGTCGTTTGAAGTCCGATAGTCATGGATGGTGTAGACAGGCCAGGTATCACGCGCTCTTGAGAAGGCGAACCTGTCTTCCTGTGGTTACGGCTGCGGCCCCGCTTTCGAGCGTATCGACCAGCAGACTTCCCCCCAACCATCGAGGTTGCCAAGCCAACATTCATAGCATAAGGGCAAGGTAGCTCATGTTTTGTTGGAACTTCGATCATCGCGGGCGTTACAAATCGTCTTCTTCTCTGCACTCTACCCCACTCCTCAAGGTAGTGAGTACAACCGGGCGCTGATCTTCCCCTGCTGTGCTTCGGAGATTATCTGGTCGTTGCCTCGCTGCCTTCCCGAGCAACACTGACGCCGACTCCCACTTGTGTTTTGTTCCTTGTTCCCACAGGGGTACGGGCAAAGCGGCAGCAGCCGTCCAGGACAACCTGCGTCAGGTGGGCCGGCGGGGGCAGTGGCGGGAGCGCCGATGAAACGAAGGCGATGGTACCTGGGTATCCAGTCCAAGAAGGATCCGGCGCATGTCATGACGGAGGTGAGTGAGCGAATGCGGCACCAATGTCGGGCCGAACATCCTGGTGCCGCGAGCGGGTGGCGATGCCGTTCTGTGGCCTCGAGTGTGACGTAAGGGTAACGTGCGTATGAGCGGCCATAGCCTGGAAGGAGGGAGACTACCGAAGTTGCCGCGGGATTCTGCGTCTGTTAAACCAAAGGAGACTCCGGGCCGGGGGGCTATAATGACATACCTGTGACTCGAGTGTGTGACACGTTTGTGCCTGGCCTTTCACTGGCACAAGCCGGACGATGCATGTCGTAGAGGTGTCCATTTATCGTGGATCACCGCTGCGCACGGCGATATTGAATATTTCGTTGGAACAGCAGTGTATTGAGTGTTCTTCTGCGCTAGAATATTTCAATCGCTGTAGACTTGTGTGGGTGTTTTGCTGGGGTGTTTCCTGGCTGCGTGGGCTACAAGCTGACAGCCAAGAATTACAACACAGATGAATGTCAGCTCCACTTCTCTTTCCTGCTGTGTGCTGCGCCCGCCACCTCGAGCTGTTAAGGCTTAGGGTTAGTTCACCGGCTGGTTGACACAGCAGTTCGGGCAAGATTGACGGCGACGTCTTGCGGAGATCATGCGGTACAGGGCAAACTGCTACTGCTGTTCATGGTGAATTGTGAGGGGAAGCGGGGGTTGGATTGGCAGCACTGGTCGAGTTGTGATCGACACGTACATGATCCACAGGAATAACAAACGACCCGGTTGCATACGCCACAAACCAGGTATACCGGGCGTTGCTGCAGCTGGGGTGCGAGTGGCACCTGCATTCGTCGTACCGAATCCAGTGCATGTGGAAACCAGACGCCGAGCCGGTGATGCCGAGGGGGGGCTTGAAACGACCGGGGGGGCTTAGAACACCTCCAGGAGGGGCGGGGCAGGGGGGCTACTTAGGCGGGGGCGGCGGCGGTCTGTCGAAGACGGAGGGGGTGGAGGGGACGGGAGGGAACAGGCTAGGGGCGGTCGAGACAGGGGGGAGGGCGGAGGAGTACAGAGTCGTCGCGGGGTTGACGCTGTACAAGGTCCAGACGAACATCTACTTGCTGGACTTTCACAAACGAGAAGGAGACCAGTTCACCTTCATGGTAAGCCTCCTGGTCCCCACACGCTCCTAACGAACTGGTTGTTTCACGATTTTTGTTTTTCGTGTTGGGTTTTTGTGGGGTTGTTGGTTGCCTGATGCGTAATAGGTTTGTGTTACGCACGTACTTGATGACTGATGACTGATGCAGGTGTCGCCCCCACCGACGGTATGCTCTCTACCCCGTCTTGGTTCGGGCCTCCAGACGGACAGACCCTACCGTAAGGCCGAGCCCCACGGCTTGTCGTCCCATTCACGCTTGGCGCAACCGCCGTTCAGACCAGTTGCCCAAAGGCCACTCAAACCGACCGTAGCATGCCACTGGGCAATCGTCGTCTTGGGGTGGATGAACTGCTGCTGCGGCCGCTGGACTTGCTGTCATTGCGCTTGTACAAGCACACACGTTTGTTTCCTGCTGTTCCGTTGTTGTGTTGGTGGTGCTTGTTCGGGATCCGCTATTAATACCAATGTTTACGCCTACATGTTTGATGCACTGCGCCGCTCTTCACGCGTTGACACTTTCTAGTAACTCGCAGTTTCACGTCCATTCCTCGCACGCTCCGTAAAAATGTTACAGACGCTGTGCGCGAAAATCATTATCCAGCTCAAGACTCTCAGCGCTCAGAGTAAAATGCAGGTCACCGGCCGCCTGCAGGTAATGTATCGGCTTCTTGGATGCGATAGTTGGGGACATGTTTTCCGGCTGTGATGTACGTAGCGTACCATGCCACCGGACCGGTGGGATGTAACACTGCTTGTAAGGTTTGGCGACTACGGGGTCCCTTGTCCTGTATTTTGGTATGGCCACGGGTCTAAGTTACACCTGTCCCTAGAGAGGAGACAAGAAAAACAAGACATTTAGGACACAGCGTCGTCCATGAGTTAATTTCGCAGTCGGCAACGACATATACAGCGCGACACAGGCGTTTGGGAAGACAGCAGCAACACGTTGTGCACGCGCGCAGCCGTCACGACACCGGTCTTGACATTTTCATCATACAAAAGACGCCCCTCGTGTGAAAGAAAACGTGCATTTTGTAAAGATGTCGATGTTGTCGTTATCTTGGGTATATCGAGAACTGTGTGCCCCCTGGCCATGTATTCCGGACCCTTGATGAGTGATGCCGGCCATCACGACGAAATAGTGTTGCTTGAGCGGGCACGCGTTATGTCGATGTAGGGCTGAGATTCGATATTTTGCGCTGGGCACGCCGTGGACAGTCAATATGGTGCACGTTGTGTGCAGATCTCTGATGTTACCGCCGACCACTGCCGCCGCTGCTGTCCCTGCTAACGCATCTCAGCAAGTGAGCCCTCAGGCCATGGCACCACAACCTCAAGGGCAGGCAATGGCGATCCCGCACATGCACGGCCAGCAGCAGCAACAGCAGCAGTACCGTCAAGCACAGGTGTCTCCCACAGCAGGACAGCAGCAGCAGCAGCAGCAGCAGCAGCATCAACACCATCCACAGCAACAGCAGCAGCAACAACAACAACAACAACAACAGCGTGGCGGTGGCGTCGCGGCGGGTTTCCACCATCCTGGTGGCGTGCAGCCGATACCGCAATACCGCATGCCAACCCATCAGCAGCAGCAACAACAAGCGCGAGGGGCACCGATGCTGCAACCGCCGGTCATGGCGCCGACGCACCAGCGGATGCAACAGCACGGGTACGGCGGGCCAGGAGCGGCGGCGCCACCGCCACCGCCACCACCGCAGCAGCAGCAGAGATCCTCACCACAGCAATACGATTGAGGGTCTCGTGACTGCCAATGCGAGCAGGGAAAAACACGAAAACAGCACCGCTGTCCTTGGGTTGGTCGGTAGTGTGGTTTGGTTTTTTCCGCTTTTTGTGGTGGATGTGTTTCGTCTTCCGTGGGGTTTGCTCGTTGAGGTGCATCGCCTGACACGGCGTTGTGGTATTCCGATAGGGTTCGTAGGGGAGGGGGGGGGGGAAAGAGGGGGAAGGGGGGGCAACTGTCTGGAGAAAGATACCCAACGATGGTCAGGAGGGCATGGGATTTTGAGTGGACCACCTGCAATAATGTTTTCATGTGGCCACCGGCCGCTATTCGTGGTTTTCGAATACTGCTGTGAAAGGGTAGCGCAAACGCGCAAACACAAGATAAGGGAGATGGGCATGGGCGCGGGATGATGCAACGACGTGTTTCTTTCTCGTGGACGGAGTGAACGGGGTTGTTTTTGCGCGGCGTTGTTGCAATTGTGGACGGAGTCTCGCGTTAACGGCAGGCAGCTACATACAGAGGGATTTTTTTAGGTGTTGGGGAGCGCGTGGAGCGATTCATGTTTCCCGCCAAGCCTCACAGACCTGCTGTGTTCTTTGCGAACCAATATGAAATGAGGAAGATTCCTTCAAGAGGTAAGCAGTGAGGCTGGCTGCGGGATGCAGTGCGCGCTGGGTAAGCGAGATGCAGCGCGACGCGTGGGAGCTAACCCGTTGCGCTCCGTCTAGAGGGAACCAGTAACACATCATACGAACACATTTTTAACATATATGAAAGTCGAAGCCATCGAGCGATCGGTCGGTCATTGTTTCTGATGGAAGAGCGTCTGGTGCACTCGGTGCTCAGTCGCCCCGCGAGAAATGAGACGCTGCTGCGAACGTCTGGCGGCGTTCCGTGTAGCAACAGCTCTACGATCAATCGTGTTTCATCGGACGCTCGAGGCGTGTAAGGGGTTTGAGGATTGCCAGCATTCGGGAGTGGCAACACCGATCGTGTTTGCCTGTATTTTGGCGGCACCGTGCGCTGTCAAGGCATTGGGCGGGATGGTTTGGTCCTGGGATGTTTCCTAAAGGCAGACGGGAAGGATGTGGGCATTCAGGCCTCAGTGGGGAGAGACAAAAGGAGTGTTACCACAGAAGGGAAATGTGATTCAGGGTGGTGGTGCTACTGGTTGTTTTCCGTCAGGTTTGTGGCGTACGTATGCTTATGCTCCACCCTTCCACGCCACGATTTGACCCGAGCACCACCAGAGTGCACTGGTCTCGTATGAGAGGGATTCTCTCTCGAAATGTTTAGCGCTTTAGAGGTAAAAGCGAGGCATCATGTATGGGGAGCATGTGGACCCTGATGATTCGGTCTGGCACGGTGTGGTAGTCCGCGAGGTGGCGTGAGAACGAGCATCTACCCGGAACCGGATGTTTGTTGTGTCTCGAAACAGGCGTCCCCGGTCAGTAGCAGCCCCGTTAATTCAAATATGATGGTGAGATTATGGTATCGACCAGCGGTTGTTTTTTTTTTGCCTAAAGCAGCATACCATATGGTAATGGAATAGGTACGGCAGTGTACGTCCATGAGGTGTCAGCGAGCTTATGATCTATCGCGGACAAACGGTACAACGTTGGTGAGTGCGGATGTGAAGCAATCGTTTGTGTCCGCCATGCTGCTTGCGTTGGCTAACTGGGCACGTTCCGTGTTTTATGTACAGTATTTCGGGGGTGGTGGTGGGGGGTGCATTGTTGCCATAGCGTTAACGTTTGCTACTACTGCACATTATACACGGTTGGTTTGGTGAGAGTAGAACAATATCTGGAGTACACCCCCCGGACGCATATGCAAAAAAAAAATATTCCAAAGCCAAGGATTCCACTCGCACGCAGGGGTTACGTGCGGTTCACCCGCACGGCGGTATCTGCTGCTGGTGATGTCGGTTTGGTGCTGCCGACGATGGAGCAGGCGTTCCGTGCCGTAGAAAAACAGCCAAATCTAGAGACCTCCTCCCGACGTGTAGTGACTGGCCGTCGCAAGCAAGTAGAGGGGTCTTTGTATACTTCCTCTGTATCATAAGTTAGGGTACCTAAATTTGTGCGGGCCCTTAACTGTGTCCGATCTGTTTCTCGATTTTTTTGTTGAAATCTTCGGAGTTTTTTTAGCAAGAAACAGTTATTTGATTTTATATGCATGCGCCACCCCGCGTGCATGAGCGCCCGAGAAAAACCA